TGAACCCTGAGGCAGACACTGAAACATGGCACAAAATCCTCTCCCCTGCCCTTCCCCTCCCCTTTACTACTTCAGTGGGCAGTGACTGGCTCTTGAGAGGAGAGGAGAAAACACCTTGCAGGTGATGGGGAAGACAAGACAAATGGTGAGGAGCTGATTGCTCATAAAGAGGTGAGAAGAACCCATCCTCATCCCCTCTGGCCACGAGCTTATTTCTTTAAGGATTTAAGTGATAAATACAACCCATCCCACTCCCACTTCCAGCATTCCTCGAGCTCCTCACAAACTCCCTCCAGGTGGGTTCCTATTCAATGAACAGGTGGGATGCTCCTGTGAGACACCATTAACACCCAGGGCAGCTCCAACCTTCCCTCTGGAGCAACTCAGAGACTTCTCAGGTTTCATTCTGCAAACATTTTCAGCCCGAGTTTGAGCCCAGGAATTATCCCCCACCAGGGCAGAGGGAAGGGCTCGTGTCATCAGCTGCCAGCTGGTGTTTACACAAGCAGGTATTTAGGAAAAGATCTGACACTTTCCATTCACACACTGCCTTAATCTGAATTAACCATCAAGTCTGGAGAAACAGATATTTCGAAAAGCAAATCCAGAAATGAAAAGATTAAAAAAAAAAAAAACCAAATCCCTCAATCAGATAATTTAAATCGACACCACATTTCAAGAAGATCGAGGTTTGCAGAAAAGTGAGTGTTCATTATGAATGGCTTGCTCAGCTCTTAAGAGAATCAAACATTTTGGTTGATCACAGGAAGCCAGCTCAGCTCTGCAGATGAATTGTTGGCTCAGGAAGGTGTTATTAACCCGTGGCTTTCTTTGAGTTGTGTTTTGATTGAATTTATAGGTTTAAAATCACCATGTGCTGGAGTGTTCCTGGTTTCTCGAGGTTTTACATCCCAAAGCAGGTACAGTGCAATGCCCAGGATCATGTTTGCTGTGTGAACACAGGTTTGATTTGCTGTTCAGCCTTGCTGACCTTAAATCACACCCAATACTCTGCTCTTCTCAGATACCAAGAGATACCTGAGTTCCACAGCTTTTTGCTCCCTCAGTGGGAAGGAAGGTCCTGAGCAGGAGGGTCTGGCCATGGCCTGTCCTGCATCCATCACTTGGCATCTTTCCTATTGCTTTGGCAGAACAGCTGAGAGCTTCAGGCAATTAATTTGCTTATTTAAAAGCCCAGGTCACCACAGGGACAGAGCCATGAGGCTGTTAATGAAGGGTTAATTAGCATCTCCTCTTCCACTCACTCACCCAGTGCCCACCTCTGAAGGCTCCAGTGTGAAGAATGGCAGTTCAGTGGGTCAGGACTTGGCTCTCACTGGAAAACCTGATCCCAGGTCAGAACTGCCTGGGTTCCCACGCCCAGCCAGCCAAGCTCAGCTCCCACAGGCAAAGGGAGGGGATGGCTCCATCACAGAGAACTTCAGAGCTGCTGACACAGCAGCTCAGCCTGCAGAGCCCACTGCTGCTGCTTGGAACTGCTAAATGACCCCTGATCATCCTCAGTCAAACAACCCCAGGCACGCTGGCAGTGTCCAAGGCCAGGCTGGATGGGGCTCTGAAAAACCTGGGCTAGTGGAAGGTGTCCCTGCCCATGGCAGGGGGTGGGACTGGAGGAGCTTTAAGGTCCCTTCCAACACAAGCCATTCCATGATTCCATGCTCTGCTTTCACAACAGACTTAGGGCTGAGAACATGGCTCTGCTAGCCCAAAACTCACCTGCTTCCCTGCTGGGAGCTCTGCGAGACTGGGGGCTCTGCATGAGGAGAGTGCTCCTCTCAGCCTGCATTTCCCAGCTGGGCTCTGCAGCCCACGCCCCCTGGGCAAGTGTGAAGCTGCTGTAGATAAAACCTGTTCCAGATGAACTAGATGCTTGGGAACATCCTCCAGCCAACCCCCTCAGAGGGCTGCACATTCCATTAGACTGCAGCCAGCACAGACATGGGTGATCCTTCCAGAGAGCTTAGAAAGGAGTTCTAACTGGCTCTTTGCATTTTTTTCACAGTAGATAAAGGTTGGGGAGCACTAGCTTTGCAGGGAATTTCTGTTAGTGTCCTCCACACCCTGACCTCTGATGGTTTCTGATGGTTCAGGACAACTGTGGAGCCCATGGAATGAATTCCAACCTGACATGAGCGATCCCACTGCCCATTCAGTGCCTTGGGAAAGGCCTCTGAGGCACAGAGGGCAACTCAGTCCCACAGTTTGGTAGGTTTAGAGTGGATCCTGACTCCTGTGAGGTCCATGTCCCCCAGCCTCCCCCATGCCAGACACTGCAGCCCTTGCCCAGCTCTGCCCTCCCTGGGCACTGACACCCGCGACCTCCCCCTGACCCGCCAGCTCCTCTAAATTAAGAACCTCTTACATCCTTCCTTGGCCCACGGGGTGCTAAGAAGGTCACCACAGATCGTGGCTTAAAGGGCCACCAAGTGCCACCCTAATCCTGGCAGGACAGGAACTGCTGGAGCTCATAAACCACCTGAGCAGGTGATTAGAGTCGGGATTTATTTGTGCTCAGACACGGTGACAGCCCCTCTGACACTGGGGTTTGTCTCACAGAAAACTTCAGCCATCCAGTGTTTGCTGAGGATGCTCCATGTCCTCTCGTTATGGGACACTTCCAACCCTGCGCTGATGGACTCAATAACAGGTATTTTCATGACCTTCCCCCTCATTTCTGGAATAATGGGCATTTTCATCAGCCTCCCTCCACTGCTCTCAGTGTTCTTCTCCAACTGCCTGAATGACAGGTATTTCCACAGTTTTTACTGCACCTCCCAGGAAATAGGGAGCTTCAACCTTTATTCTGTGTGCCACCAATAATTGGAGGGAAAAGTGAAAAAGTGAAAAGCAAATAATCAACCAGCACAGTGCTCGGAGTTCAGGAGTCCTGTGAAAGCAAAGAACTCACCAGATAAAAGACAGTTTCCTCCACTTCCAGCAAATCCCTGATACAAAAAGAAGGCTCCATAGTTTAAAGCCCTGTTTCATGTGCCAGCAGCCAAAACAAAACTTTTCAGAGTTTCTGGCAGTGTCCTTTGTAAAAATGCCGTCAATACTAAATAAATCATGTATTTCTTCAACACTGCTGAAACCCATAATTTCATTTGCTGAGTTAAATCCTGGTCTATGGAATTAGGGCACAGTAGTTGTCTTATTCAAGCAGAAAAGGGTTTTTAGCCAGTTCATTTGTTTAACATCTCTGTGTGCCAGAAATTTTTTGTCCTACTTTGTGTCAAAATACTCTCATTACCACTGTGGGCAGATTCACTAAGCTAGAGCAGGAAGTGGTTCCAGACAAATCAGAAGCAAACTCAAGTTCCTTTCCTCCCTCAACTGCCTGATCTTGCTTTGGAAAAAGTTCAGGTGAATCTTTACACCTCTGCTATTTGGAGTTTCTTAGACTAGACTTCCAAATAAAGCAGGAAGTGTAAAACTCTTGAATTACTGTACACAGTGTCTCTTGTCTTGTGATGAGAAGTTTTACCTGATCACACTTATATTTTCTTCCTCTTATATAAAAGTTCTCAAGGAAAAAAAAAAAAACCAACTGTGATACCAATTAAAACACCAGGACTGTAAAACCTGCTGAACTGGAAACTGAGGACTCCATCCCTGGAAGTGTCCAAGGTTGGACAGGGCTTTGAACAACCTGGGCTAGTGGAAGATGTCCCTGTTCCTCCCATGGCAGGAGGTGGAACTGGATGGGCTTTAAGGTCCCTTCCAATCCAAACCATTTTGTTAATCTATGATTCCTGTTTTTATCCATCTGCCTGGGAACTGGAAGGGAAAGTGCACTGCTGAAAACATTACACCACTCCATCTTCATGCCTGATATCTTCATTCACCCTCTGCTGAAGCAAACCCCAGGTTTTATTCACATGAAGTCCTGCTACTCAATTCTCCCCAAAACAAAACTCCCACCAGGGCAGATAAAGAGTTCCCACCTCTGGTCCTCATGGACCTCACTGCTCAGGAAGCACAGCAAGTTCCCAACAGCCACAGTCACTCTGGATCAGAATTTCCCAATACCCAGGTCATGCTGTCGCTGGAGCTGATCCCTAAATCCTCTCCCATCCTTCCACAAAACCTCTTCTTCACAGAGGTGCTTTCAGCTCAGCCTACCTGGCCAGCCTGGGTCTGGGGGATGTCCAAGCTTGTGTCCTGACTGTGCCATGTCTGTTGGCACCTGGGAGATGGTTCTCTTCCTAAACTGTGGCCTGAGGACGCTGCTGTACCCTCTGGGGATGGGCAACTCCTCTGTCCTGCCCACAGCACTAACAAACCCCAGTGTGCTGATGTCCAAGGAACCTGTCCCTGAGCCTGCTCCTGCCACCCCATGTGCTGCCCTGCTTGCCCTGTGCACAGACAGCACCAGGGCTTTGACCAAGCCCTTGGCACCCTCTTTCCCCCCACAGCAGCTCTGTGAGGTGTGTGCCTGCCCCAAGCACAACGTTCCCTGTGGGAAGCACTTCCACCCAGCTGCTCCTTGCAGCCGCTTGCTCTGGGACGTGCACAGGAAGGTCAGGCTGCTCAGAAGTCACACTCACATTCACCTTCACCACAGCAAACTGCAAAGGTAACTTTCAGAAGCAACACAAGCCGTGAATCAGAAATGCAACCACACCGAAACCCACCGTGCCCAGAACGAAACCAACCTGCCCTGCAGGGCGTAATTGAAGCAATCCTGTCTCTGTCACCAACAGCACTGAGGGGAATGGCAGGTTCCCAGCAAATCCAGCAACCTCTGGCTCCTCGAGCACCCAGAGCAGGCAGGATGAGCCCCCTGCCAGCAGGCTCGCAGGGACACACCTTCAGCCCAACTCCGGAACGAAGCCACTCGGACAATTCATCACCTCCTGCACGGTGTCTGTGCTGCCCCAAATCCCACTGCTGAGTCCCCCAGCCCCAAAACTGGGAATTGCAGGGATCTCCCCCGCCATTCCTCACATCTAAAAGTACATCAAGGCACATTTACTTACCGGGACTGGCTGGGCACTTGGGGTTTGTCAGTCCTCCCGTCGGCGCTGCGGGAGCAGGCGCACAACCCCTCGACGGTGTCAGCCTCACCCTGCAAGAACCAGGACACAGAGGGATGGTAAGAGGATAATCCAGTACTTTCTAACCCTCAGCAGAGCAGGGAGTGTGGTGTTGGAAAGCAAAGCAAAGCTGCTGGATGTCTGCAAGGATCAGAGCCGGGACTTTCCGAGCTAAGACTCTGAGCGGCTTAGCAGGGACCTGGAAGGGGAGCAGACAAGAGGTGGTTGTGTTTGCAGGGCTGAGCACTGGGAGAGCTGCTGGGGGGTGGTTCAGGGTGGCTTGGGCACCAGAAATCCCACAAAAAAACTGCTGCATCAGGTTAATGCTGGCAGAGAACATGGAAACCGGCGGATAGAGGCGGGCAGGAATTTTTGGTCACGATGGCTGGGATTTACACGGGAAAATAAAGAGTTTCCTCAAACTGAAATATCCCACAGGAAAAATGTTTCATGGTGTTACTTATTGTTTGGTTTTTTCTGCATGGAAAATGTGGTTTGGAACTGAAGGATTTGCTTTGGGTTGGACAAACTTGAACTGAAATGTTCTGTGGGTGGAATTGGGATTGTTCAGCCTGGAGAGGGAGAAGGCTCTGGAGTGACCTTATTGTGGCCTTTCAGTACCTACAGAGGCTCCAAGAGAGCTGGAGAGGGACTTGGGACAAGGGATGGAGGGACAGGACAAGGAGGAATGGTTACAAGCTGAAGGAGGGCGGGGTTTGTTGGATATTGAGGAGAAATTCTTCCCTGTCAGGGTGGGCAGGCCCTGGCACAGGTTGCCCAGAGAAGCTGTGGCTGCCCCTGGATCCCTGGAAGTGTCCAAGGCCAGGTTGGATGGAGCTTGGAGCAAGCTGGGCTATTGGAAGGTGTCCCTGCCCATGGCAGGGGGGTGCAGTTGATGATCCTGAAGGTCCCTTCCAACCCAAACCATTCTGGGATTATGATTCCATTTTATGATACTTGGATACACGGACTGCCTGATCCCAAGGGAGGGCAGGAGGGGCAGCCAGGGCTCCTGCAGACATCACAAACGTGGTGGTGAACAGTTACAGCTCCTCCCAGCCTGCCAGGAGAGACTCTCCAGCCTGAGAGGCTCAGTTCAGTCCCAGTTCTGCCACAGCACTGCAAAAGGTCAAACTGGAATGAAGCTTTTAATTAAAACTGAGGAAGTGCTAAAGAGACAGAAAATGCAGCCCTGGGCTCCAACCAACACCGAGGTCACAGGGATCCAGGGAGCCAATCAGTGGCTTCCACACTCCATGGATAATCCCTCCTGCACAGGGAGTCATGGAAAAGCCACCACAGTGACAGAGGTTAAAGCAGGGGATGCTGCCATGGGGCCACATTTCCCATCACCCAAGAACCCAGCAAAGCAGTTGAGATGGACAACTTCCCAGGGCTGTTTCCTCAGTTCCCCTCCACGTCAGTGGATCCATCACTTGTGTTTATTGAGCCTCTCCAGAGATCTGGCAGCATCTCTCAGAAGTTCCATTCAATGTGCAAAGTGCTGGAATCAAGGACTGCAGCAAAGCCCTGGGAATGGGCCTTCAAGCAGGAGAAATACAGGAGAGAGGAGGCCAAACGAGGTCTGAGCAGAGCCCTGGACACCAAAACTCTTCAAAAACACCCCAGGAATGAGGAAAAGCAAATGGCTTGTGGCCTGCTCTGACGACGCCTGCTGGAAATCTGAAGTTCTGATTTCCCATCTCCTCCCAAACTCACCCTGACACCTGGACTGAGGCCAAAGCGCTCATCTGGCTCCTAAAGCCTTCTGCTGGTGCAAAGAACAACCCAAGGGTGGAGGGGCAGAGGGATATCAAAGAGCATCAGAAGCTCCAAGGTCTGCTCTTGGCCCCACCTCTTTGAGACCAAGAGCCAAATCACTGCATGTCTTTGTGTCCCTGGGGATGCTCAGTTTGACCCAGGTGAGGTCTACAAAGCTGACTGATAACCTGAGGTGGAAGCAGTAAAGGGGTGGCTCAGAAAAACTTCACCATTAGCAGGATCAGGGGAGCTGAAAAAAAGGATGTGCACCTCTGCTGCTCCATAATCCCTCTTTTCCCAAAGGTTCAGCTACATGAAAGACCAAATTATCACAGAATCCCACAATAGTTTAGGTTGGAAGGGACCTTTAGGATCATCCAGTGCCACCCCCTACCATGGGCAGGGACACCTTCCACTGTCCCAGGTTGCTCCAAGCCCCGTCCAACCTGGCCTTGGACACTTCCAGGGATCCAGGGGCAGCCACAGCTTCTCTGGGCAACCTGTGCCAGGGCCTCCCCACCCTCCCAGGGAAGGATTCCTTCTCAATATCCCACCTAAATCCACCCTCCCCAGCTTAAAGCCATTCCCTGCTCTTACACCAAGATTCTCTTTAGTGTGTGAGTCCTGGGGAATTCAGGCAGCAGGAAAAGCAGAGTCCAGCCCTTGCAGGGCTGAGTCAATCAGCTGAGTGCCCTGTGGCCTGATTTTCCTAGAATCACTTCAACCCATGTTGCAAAAGTGAAGGAGAGTGGATGCAGGTCCCCTGCCAAAATACATCTTTGGAACTCGGTAACTGCACTAAAAGGTGCTGGTTTATTTTCTCTCTGGGCTCCCCAAGCCTTTCCCTTCCCTCCCCGAATGATAACGGGCATAAAAATTAAACAGAATTCCTCCAAGAAAAAGCAAAAGGCACTGAAGGGTCATAAATCACGGGGCTGGATGGCATTCAGAGGGAGCTGGGGGAGGGAATAAAGAGTGGAACAGTGCAGATACGGACTAAGATACATCAGAGACCCTTAAAAACACGAGACTCGTCCTCAGGGCAGGGGACTCCACACCATGGGTAAGTTCTGATGAAGCAGCAAAGGGAATGTGCCCAGCACAGCAGTGGGGTTGGTACATGGTGTCCACAGTCCCACTGGGCTCAGGGCACAGGGAGTATCCCCCCAGCACCACGTGGGGATGAAGACCCTGATGAAAACACCCTCTGATGTCCCTAAAGCCACAAGTCTGTACTGGTTGGCAACTGCTGAGGGCAGAAGACCTGCAAACAGATGGTCTTTCTGAGGGGTTTCCAAGAAGTGCCCTTCTTGCTCATCCAGGGGGCCTGTAGGGATGGACCCATGGGACCAGGGCTGCCTCACTGCCACCAGCAGTGGGATCAACTTCAGGAAAACTAAAGAGGAACCAACCCAGTGGTGCTGGATGTGGGGCTGGAGACATCTCCTGGATGGGATATTCCCTCACCTGCTGACCTGGGATCCTGACAGCAGCCTTCCACTCACCCGAAACACTCCCCAGGGCGCCACACGAGCCTGATATTTTGGAAACAATATGTATCAGCACTGATTTGCTGCTAATAAACAGGATCACCTGTAACTGTGCAGGCACCGTCTACTTCATTAAACCTACAGATCTTGCTCTCCCAGGGGTCTGCTCCTCAACAGGAGCAGGAAATGAAAAGACAGAAAGTGCAATTTAATTGGGGATGAAGCTCCATCTCTGCACTGTCTGTCATAATTACGTGTCATTTAAAACAAGTGTGGAGCAGGTGGGAAATGGCACCAGCTCCGGATGTGCATAAAAAAGCCCGTCCCAGATCGAATCAGATGGTACAACTGGAAACTCCTGTTCCCCTCAGGTTCTTCCTTCCTTTGTTTCATCAAACTTCTCTGAGAAACTCAGTTTTGAAACGGGTGAGAAGAAATGGCATCTCTGCAGAGCCAAGGGGTTTGAACAGAAGAGAAGGTTGTTCAGCATCACGTGCTGAGGCACAGCAAAGGTCCCTGAGAAATGTGGGAACACTCCCAGGCACCTGCTCTGGCTGCTTGGCTGGGCTGAGTGACTGCAGGGTCCTCCTGGAAAAGAGATGCCTGAAGTGAGAACCAAAGCAGAGATCTCTGCCCTTCCTGCTTTTCCAGATGTTATCAGTAACACACTGGATTCATTTAAATCTGTTTTTCTAACAAGTACCTTTTCTATACTTCTACCATGGGAGATCAAAGAGGAGGAACCCCATTTAACTAATGCCCTTTAATTAGTTGCCCATTGCTGTCAAAGCCCTGCTCTCATATTCTGATGCAAATTCTCAGCCTTTCATTCTAAGCAATACCTCAGTTTGCCTTCAGTCTTCCAGTGATCCTTAAATGTCATAATTTCTCCCCAGTGAATCAATATTCAGAGAATCACAGAATGGTTTGGGTCAGAAGGGACCTTAAGGGTCATCTCAGTCCAACCCCCTGCCACGAGCTGGATAATCAGACCCTCTAATTGCCACTGATCTGCTCATCCTGCCTTGGGCTGGGTTTCTTCAGCCACTGAGCACATCAGACACTTCTTCTGAGCAAACCTTCTGGCCAGGATGGTGCTCAGGGAGTGCTCAGGGGACCAGCTCTGCTCCCACCTCTCTCCCACACCATCCTGCTCCGCAACCCACGCAGCTCTGGGAGCAAAACGTGCCTTGCCCAAGGCAAACAGGGCCAGAGCATCTTCTGTGATGGAGGCATGAAACCCTAAACCACGTCCCAGCCCAGGATGGCTTTTCCTGGGCTTTTCCTGATCCTCTTCAAGGGGCACAGACACAGCTCCCCATCGTTCCTAATTTTGTCTCGTGACGTCTCCATCTCCTGCCTGTCAATCCTCCTGCTGTCAGAAGGTCACCAGGCCAGTTGGAAAGCCATTTTTCACACCCTTGCTAATCCAGAGGCACCTGGCTGCCTCCTCCCACTGGGAAATGCTGACAACAAAACTAATTAGTGGGCAGCAGGACTAGGGGTGGGAGAGGTGCTGCAGACAGACAGCACTGGCCTTTAGGGTACCAGCCAAGAATTCCAGGGATTCAGGAGCGGTTCCTGGCACTTCCCCACACTCCCTTCATGACCTTGGGCTTCAGCTCTGTGCTTACCTCCTCTCACTGAGGCTGATAACACTTCCCAAAGGTGGCCATGCAGATAAATTAATTCATGTTCAGGAAATAATCCAGTAGCTGAATGGGTGAAATCCAGAGAACAGTCCATGCACCATCACTCATTTTTAGGAATTTAGGAACTGC